GATGTACGCTAAAATCTGTGGCACGGTTACGAAAACGAAGTGAAGCATACCTCGCAGTACCAACTGTGTTAGTAATTGGAATATTTCAATGTTATTGACAGCAGACGTTGAAAAACCCCACTCTCATTCACATACCACGTTTGCGCAAGGTGATTCACGACAATGCATGTTTCAACTTCTGTGCCTCACATTGCTGTTCTCATACTCACCAAACGGCATGAACCTCGAACAGCTCACAAATTGTGGTAACGTCCACACCGAGGCCAGGTGATCTACACTGTACCGTGTCTATTCACTTACCACAGTCAGAAACTACAAACGTCATATTTTCCTTAAACAGTCAATCAATGTGTTTTTTTATCAACTCCGCCGTTGATTAAATAGCGAGTTTGTGTCTTCTCCAGGACAGGACACAAGTGCCTGGTTTGTGCCATGAGCATGAAGTATGAAGTTTATAGTCGCGAACTGAGTAAGATACAATAGGTTCTGTGGCTGTCTTGGCAAAACTTAAAATGGCCGTTGTGTTCGTTGGACGGCACAGCAGGAGAGCGTGATAATCGATCGCGCGCTGTGCGTGAAGTAAGCAGTAATAAATGTAAACAGTCGATGCGAAATACCCTGCACGCTATTCAAAGGGGCAGAGGAGAGGTATGTATTGAATATAATTTGATCAATCAGTCATTGACATCGAACCACATTGGAGAAGCTGAGAGTAATTAAAAGATAATCAATATTTAGTGAAACCGTTCGACAGGCGGACTAAACCAGGTTGAGGTCTAAAGTTCCTGGAGAGACAGCAGATAGTATTTTGAGGCCTCCACTTCTGAACGAGCCTACACAATCTTCTGGCAATTTAACTGATTTTAATTTGTAATTAAAGAAAAAACACATCACTCAGTTATTTCATGTCACCATCCAACCAAACTGTAAAAGTGCCAAAGGAAAATGCACTTCGAATTTCTAAGTGCAAAGTCAACAGAAATCAACGCAATGTTTACGCACCAAGAACGCTTGAATTTGTAACCCGATTCAAGGAATACCGAGACCGAAAAAGGAGCGCGAATATGAACCTTCGATAACAAAATCATTGCACACTCGAATGGATATGGAGCAATTCAGGTTAATATGATAAACATACCTTTGGTTTATAGATAACGCGACACCAAACTAGTAAAATGCGCACAAGAGTTGTACTAGGCCTGTGAGTAAACGTTCGGGTGTTGCGAATGGTTATGGCTTGTGGATGTTCGTTATGCAAAGAAGGTTCAGTGTCAGACAAGTGTTTTGATGCCTTGGTCATATGCTCCAAACAGGCGGTTTAAGTTAAAGCCGGAAAGAGAAACCCACGGTATAGAACCGATTTTGAATAGACACTGAAGGACTTTGAAATAAATCACGCTAAAAGTTTCACCTGCTGAGGTAGGAAAAACTGGGGCGCATCATTTAAAGTGTGCAAATAAATTTACGTAGCAATTAATGAGGATTCTACGGTTTTCTGAGACTAACTGCTATATCTAATCTTAGGATATTTTTAGCAGTCGGGAACTCTTCCAGCCAACATGCTTGAATTGGGCATTTAAGCCGCAGCTTTCGCAAGTACTTCTGCACAGTGTCATTAGCTTAGGGTAAATCAGATCATGACCGCAGGTCTTTAGGGAGGCCTCGAAATAGCCAGACTCTCAGTTGGGTTGGTCGGCATGGATGTCTCACAAATAGTCTGAATGGAAAGGGTTTTATTGAACTAGACAGCGGCTGAAAATGGTGGATTCAAGTCTTCAGAATCAAAACCGTAATCTTTCTGTGTACCGCATGGATATTTTAGTGCAAGCCATGGTTAGAGTATACAGAAATTCGCTTTCTGATAGCTAGAAAGTCTCTTGAGAAGAATTCAAATGATTTCTATTGAAGTCAGCTATATCACACTTCTTGTGATGAATGAAAAGGAAGCAATGATTGGGAGAGTTAATGGGAGCCGGTTATGTTTACTGAACAATATATGATCACATTCTATGTTATATTATTGAGAATACTTACAAGCGGTTGTTTTTCTTCTCCTTTGGTTTTCTCCGCACAACTGGAATGATATATCCGTCAAAGAGGGACGAGGAATGTCACAAATCTACATTACTTCTTGTACTGCCAATAATGTCGAGATTTGAGACACGATAATTTTTCATCCAATCTGAGCTTGGAAGAATTAATTGTGGGCGCACAAAACATGTGAGGCGATAGGAAACTCCAAATATCACACTCTCTGAGTGCTAATGACTGACGCAGACAATCTATTCGGCAGTTTTTTATCACGTTTTTGATTTAGTGCCTCCTGAGGTGTGTTAGGCAACAATGGGAAAAGTGAAAGATATTCAAAGATTCAAAGATTTATTATGGGATTAACTTACAAGCTTATGATTTTCTGGTCCCATAGGTTATTGCGGTGGAGTAAGAAACAGTGATACATACAATTCTTTGTGTAAAATGTCCCGTGATACGTGCTTTTTCCACTGCTGCACGCAGCTTCACTTATGTTGGAANTGAAAGACTCAATGCTTGGAGCACAGACTACGTAGGATGGTAGAGAGTTCCAGATCGAACACACTCTGACTGCGAATGACTGACGCCGGCATTCCAAGCGGCATTTTGAGACCACCAGTTTAAATGGATGTCCTCTTAGATGAACGTTGGCTGATAATTTCGGAAGCGAGCGACACGGATGGCTTGGGTTTTGCATTATTTGGTATACCATAATCATATCTCCTCTGATGCGCCGGTAGTGATTGGAATATAACCCCAGTGACTTCAATCTCTCTGTGTATGAACACCGATTCAACCCCCTGACCATTTTGGTAGCCATCCTTTGTGGACTCTCCAGCATCTTTCAATCACGCTGTAGCCATAGATTCCAGGCCTGGATAGTGTATTCTGTGAGTAGTCGAATGTATGCTGACAGCAGACGGGGGAATAAAGCTGACTCAAACCGGCCGAAGACCCGCTTAAGCAAGCCGACATTCTTTACAGCTGCGTGGGACACCTTGGTGCAGTTGTGTGAGCAGCTTAATTTTTCTTGAATGATGATACCCAGGTCCTTCTCACCTGTGGCGTGTGGCAGTTGTTCATTTTCGAGGAAATATGAAAATCTCCCCCTGTGTCGTAGAGATAGAACCTTGCATTTTGGCACATTGAATTCTA